CTGGTTCGAGCAAAGAGGTCCAGATCTTCGGGCCCTTCATGTGCATTGAATTTTTGCATAGTGTGAGATGGACATGAGGGATGTCAAAAAAGTGTTTTGTGCTTCATGTTATGCCTGTGTGTTCTGTTGTAGCTGTCTAGTAGAAGTTTGAGCAGAGGGTTTATATTGGAGTTTAATGTCCTGTATATATAGTAGGCACAATAATAAGTGTGTATATTTTGTATATTAAGTAAGTTCAAGCTCTTGAAGAGTGGTGGGGTGTGGTGTCTGGCACGGGAGTTTGTGATCCTCACCACAGCTTTTTGTTGGGTTATTAAAAGTTTAAGGTGATTGGCTGTGGTAGATCCCCAAGCACAAATACCATAGGTGAGGTAAGGTATATAAAAGAGTGATATAGAGTAAGGACCGCCATTTGGGGTACATAGTATCGTATCTTGGAAAGGATGCCTAAAGTTTTGGAAACTTTCTTAGTTATATGCAGGATGTGGGTCTGAAATTTAAGATTACAGTCAAGGTGGAGACCTAGAAATTTGCCCGCAGTGTGTCTTGTAATGGGGGAACCACTGATCAGTATGTTTAGCTGGATATTTAATGCTCTGTTTCCAAAAAAGCATAAAGTAGGTTTTGTCTATATTGAGCATGAGTTTGTAGGTCATCATCCAGTTTGATATTTTGTGTAGCTCGCTGTTTACAGTGTCACTAAGTATAGCTGAGTTTGGGTAGGAGAAGATGTAAGTGGTGTCATCTACAAACAGAAGCGGTTTAAGGAGTCAAGATGCATTTGGGAGGTCATTGACATAAAAAAGAAAGAGTAGAGGACCTAGGACACTTCCCTGTGGTACTCCAACAACTACAGGCTGAGTAGTGGAAGTCACGCCATTTGTGTATACATACTGGTGTCTATCACTAAGATAAGATTTTAGGTAACTGAGGGAGTGTCCTCTATACTTATTTACTGCTTAGTGCACAAAGGCAGCAGGTGTAAGAAAACATGCTCAATGTTTCACCGATGCTGGGGATCAACCCTAGACCCTCAATGTGTGAGCTGAGTATGGTACCAACCAAGCCACAAGCACCCTAAACTGGCAAAATTTGTAGCGATATTGGACACTGCTTGTGAGCAATTTTATAAACATAATCAGCATACAATAAGAGTCTGAATTTAACTTTAATGGGAGTCTCAGTTACATAGCAGAACAGCAAGGGACCAAAAATAATTACTCGTGGAACTCCAAAAATAAAATTACGTATTTTGATTTACTGTTGTTAGGGTTGTCCTGAGGCTTGATTGATAGCACACTCAGCTCACAAACAGTGTCCATGGTTCAATCCCTGGCATGGTTGGAAATGATGGGTTTGTTTCCTTGCACCTGCTGCCCCCTGTTTACCTAGAAGTAGATACCTGGGTGTTAGTTGACTGATGTGGGTTGCATCCTGGGGAATAAGATTAAAGGAACCCAATAGAAATAAGACAAACAGTCCCTGATAACACACTGACTTTAATAGGTTATCCTGGGTGGCTGACCCTCTAATGTACAAATGCTATGGATCCCATCACACATTGGATTACTCCTTCATGATAAAGTTGATATGTTAGCCAAGAAGAGTATCCAGAAGGAGAATGTAGAATATAACTTTGGTATAACTGTGTCTAGCATTAGGAATAATATTAGGAGAGAAGTAAATAATGAAAATTATTGTTATAGGAATGCAGTTAGAAGCCTGAGTAGATCTATAACCCACTATGATAACATGAACGTAGATAAGTATGTTTATGGAGCAACTTGCAATGTGAACAGACTGACTGATGTTGTAGTGGCCAGGCTTAGGCTTGGTTACAAGTACTTCTGGCAGTTTGGGAGACACACAGATGATGATCAAACTAAATGTAAATTATGTGATCAGGCATATGGTCACTGTCTTGAACACTATGTGCTTAATTGTCCACTTATTGAAGAATACAGAGACAGACAGTATAATAACCTATGTGACATGTCAAGATATCTTATTAATGAAAATAAGATACCAGATATACTAAGCAAATTTCCTAAATTTGCTTGTAACAGATAAGTGAACTATAGATATGTAGATATAAATCCATATGTATTCCTGTTAACCCTTTGGGGCCTAGTTCCTAGGCCTTTTGTGTATCCATATGCTCTCGCGCTACCGTCCACAGGATGGATATGGGGTGCACAATAAACTAGCCACTTCGGTGGCAAAATCTAAAATCTAATCTGACCCTCTGGGTTAAAAATCTGAACAAAATTGTATCTTAGATTTAATAATTTTTTCAGTTGTTTACATATGACAGGAATCAATCGACTGATCCTACATTAATAATTTTATTTTATTTTTAGTGAATTTCATGGTTCACGGTTTCAATTTTTTCTAAGTGTACTACTTTAGGTGTATCGTCATATATTGTACTATTCCTCACAAATATTTAACACAACATTCAAATTATCTTTTGAGTTAAGTTACTTCCAAAAGATTTCAGTTGCTGTCAGAACTTTGTAATATTAATTCTTAGGTACCACAATTATCAAAATAAAATGCTAAACCTATTAGGTTTAAAGCCTATCAACTTTATGAGTCATTAAAGTTGCATACTATTACTTTTACATGTCCAGTCAAGGATACTTTAATCTTGAGGTTAGCTTACAGTGTATGTAAGAGATACACACCTTAGCATGTATAATACATGTATTTTAGAAAATCTATTCTTCAAATCTAAATAGGTTTAATAAACACATAGCTACCCTCAAACACACTAGTGGCAAGTAATTCAAATTTAACCATGGATAACCCAAGAAATCAGAAGCATCATTGTTCAACTTTGATGTTCAGCAGCCTCTGACTTATAAAATCACCGACATCAGTGAGTTATCCAGACAGCAGCTTGGACAATGTTAAAATATAACCACAAGTTATTCAACAAAGTAATTTACATACAAGACAGGGTATCGTTTACCAGTACCTTTACTAAATTTATATGAGAGAATTTCTACCAGTAAGAAACTATGGAGACTTGTGACTGACTTTTTTTTAGGTTATCCTGGGTAATTTATACTATGCATGATAATTGTACATACATGTACCTGTGCTTAAATAAACTCATTAACATCCTGGGAACATTGGTACGATCACTGGCATTCCTCGTTTCTACTGAGGTCAACTCCAATCATCTGGATCAAGAGCTCCTAACAAAAATTCAAACTAAATAATAATGTATCCTTTACGAACATGTGATTTACCGAGTCAGCAGTAATAAATTTACACATTTTCTGTAGTATATAAGTAATGTAGTTTACATATAATAAGATATTGTTAGACACAAAAGCCACTAGCATGCTGTAGATATATTGTAGAAGTATCAGTATAAATTACCCAGGATAACCAAAAATGTCAAGACAGTGATTCATTAACATTGGGGTCTTTAACTGGACTAATTTACAGTGGCGAGTTTATAATCAAAATGGAACTCGAAATAAATGCATTACTCATATTAAAGCTGTGAGGGAGTATTAAAGCTGTGAGGGAGTATTAAAGATGTAAGGGAGTATTAAGCTGTGAGGGAGTATTAAAGCTGTGAGGGAGTATTAAAGCTGTGAGGGAGTATTAAGCTGTGAGGAGTATTAAGCTGTGAGGGAGTATTAAAGCTGTGAGGGAGTATTAAAGCTGTGAGGGAGTATTAAAGCTGTGAGGAAGTATTAAAGCTGTGAGGAAGTATTAAAGCTGTGAGGGAGTATTAAAGCTGTGAGGGAGTATTAAAGCTGTGAGGGAGTATTAAAGCTGTGAGGGAGTATTAAAGCTGTGAGGGAGTATTAAAGCTGTGAGGGAGTATTAAAGCTGTGAGGGAGTATTAAAGCTGTGAGGGAGTATTAAAGCTGTGAGGGAGTATTAAAGCTGTGAGGGAGTATTAAAGCTGTGAGGAAGTATTAAAGCTGTGAGGGAGTATTAAAGCAGTATTAAAACAGTAATAAAGCAGTAATAAAGCAGTATTAAAGCAGTATTAAAGCAGTATTAAAGGTGTATTAAAGCAGTATTAAAGCAGTATTAAAGCAGTAATAAAGCAGTAATAAAGCAGTATTAAAGCAGTAATAAAGCAGTGTTAAAGCAGTAATAAAGCAATATTATTAACAAAGTTAACATTACCAATACTTGACAAGTGCAGTAACTTGCAGAGTAATAAAGCAGTATTAAAGCAGTATTAAAGCAGTAATAAAGCAGTAATAAAGCAGTAATAAAGCAGTATTAAAGCAGTAATAAAGCAGTATTATTAACAAAGTTAACATTACCAGTACTTGACAAGTGCAGTAACTTGCAGAGTAATAAAGCAGTATTAAAGCAGTATTAAAGCAGTATTAAAGCAGTATTAAAGCAGTAATAAAGCAGTAATAAAGCAGTAATAAAGCAGTATTAAAGCAGTAATAAAGCAGTATTATTAACAAAGTTAACATTACCAATACTTGACAAGTGCAGTAACTTGCAGAGTAATAAAGCAGTAATAAAGCAGTATTAAAGCAGTAATAAAGCAGTATTATTAACAAAGTTAACATTACCAGTACTTGACAAGTGCAGTAACTTACAGAGTAATAAAGCAGTAATAAAGCAGTATTAAAGCAGTGTTAAAGCAGTAATAAAGCAGTAATAAAGCAGTAATAAAGCAGTATTAAAGCAGTAATAAAGCAGTATTATTAACAAAGTTAACATTACCAGTACTTGACAAGTGCAGTAACTTGCAGAGTAATAAAGCAGTATTAAAGCTGTATTAAAGCAGTATTAAAGCAGTAATAAAGCAGTAATAAAGCAGTAATAAAGCAGTATTAAAGCAGTATTAAAGCAGTAATAAAGCAGTATTATTAACAAAGTTAACATTACCAGTACTTGACAAGTGCAGTAACTTGCAGAGTAATAAAGCAGTATTAAAGCAGTATTAAAGCAGTATTAAAGCAGTAATAAAGCAGTATTATTAACAAAGTTAACATTACCAGTACTTGACAAGTGCAGTAACTTGCAGAGGGTTGGGCTGGTCAGGGTAGATGCTGCGACATCTTGCATAGAGTGCCTCCAGACCTGCAGGTATGGGTGCCAGTGCCTCCACCACACCTGCTGCACCACCCACTACCTCACCTGCTGCACCACCCACTACCTCACCTGCTGCACCACCCACCACCTCACCTGAAGGAGGTGCAGCATCCAGCAAGTGCACCCCCCCACTCAGACCTTCCTTCCAGTCCATCATCAGACTCTACCACCACTCTCCCCACTCCTCTATATTGAGACTGGTGGCACCCCGCTAACCTCTCCCCAGGTACCCACTACCCAGGTACCCCTACCCAGGTACCCCAAACCCAGGTACCCTCTACCCGCTACCTGCTACCCGGCTCTCACCCACCTAACAGTCTCAGCACACAACACTCTCAGTGAACATAAGGTACTATGGTACCCAGTATCTTAGTACCCAACACTCAGTACCAACACTCAGTACCCAACACTCAGCACCCAGTAGTCTCAGTACCCAACACTCAGTACCCAACACTCAGTACCCAACACTCAGTACCCAACACTCAGTACCAACACTCAGTACCCAACACTCAGCACCCAGTAGTCTCAGTACCCAACACTCGGTACCAACACTCAGTACCCAACACAGCTCCCAGCACTCAGCACCCAACGCTCAACACCCAACTCTCAGTACCCAACACTCAGCACCCAACACTCAACACAAAACTCTTAGTACCCAACACTCAGTACCCAACACTCAGCTCCCAACACTCAGCACCCAGTAGTCTCAGTACCCACACTCAGTACCCAACACTCAGTACCAACACCAGTCCCAACACTCGGTACCAACACTCATACCAAACAGCTCCAGCACTCAGCACCAACGCTCAACACCAACACTCACACCAACACTCAACACAAAACTCTTAGTACCCAACACTCAGCACCCAACGCTCAACACCCAACACTCAGTACCCAACACTCAGCACCCAACACTCAGTACCCAACACTCAACACTCAGTACTCAACACCCAACACTCAACACCCAACAGTCAACACCCAACAGTCAACACCCAACACTCAGTACCCAACACTCAACACCCAACACTCAGTACCCAACACTCAGTACCCAACACTCAGTACCCAACACTCAACAACCAACACTCAACACCCAACAGTCAACACCCAACACTCAGTACCCAACACTCAGTACCCAACACTCAACAACCCAACACTCAACACCCAACAGTCAACACCCAACAGTCAACACCCAACACTCAGTACCCACACTCAACACCCAACACTCAGTACCCAACACTCAACAACCAACACTCAACACCCAACAGTCAACACCCAACACTCAGTACCCAACACTCAGTACCCAACACTCAACACCCAACACTCAGTACCCAACACTCAACACACCAACAGTCCAACACCCACAGTCAACACCCAACACTCAGTACCCAACACTCAACAACCAACACTCAACAACCAACACCTCAACAACCAACACTCAGTACCCAACCTCAACAACCAACACTCAACACCCAAACAGTCAACATCCAACACTCAGTACCCAACACTCAACAACCAACACTCAACAACCAACACTCAACACCCAACACTCAACAACCAACACTCAACAACCAACACTCAACAACCAACACTCAACAACCAACACTCAACAACCAACACTCAACAACCAACACTCAACACCCAACAGTCAACACCCAACACTCAACACCCAACAGTCAACAACCAACACTCAACAACCAACACTCAACAACCAACACTCAACAACCAACACTCAACAACCAACACTCAACAACCAACACTCAACAACCAACACTCAACAACCAACACTCAACAACCAACACTCAAACCAACACTCACACCAACACTCAACCAACACTCAACAACCAACACTCAACAACCAACACTCAACAACCAACACTCAACAACCAACACTCAACAACCAACACTCAACAACCAACACTCAACAACCAACACTCAACAACCAACAGTTAACACCCATCACTCAGTACCTGGAGTTTACCTGGAGAGAGTTCCGGGGTCAACGCCCCCGCGGCCCGGTCTGTGACCAGGCCTCCTGGTGGATCAGAGCCTGATCAACCAGGCTATTACTGCTGGCTGCACGCAAACCAACGTACGAGCCACAGCCCGGCTGATCCGGAACTGACTTTAGGTGCTTGTCCAGTGCCAGCTTGAAGACTGCCAGGGGTCTGTTGGTAATCCCCCTTATGTATGCTGGGAGGCAGTTGAACAGTCTCGGGCCCCTGACACTTATTGTATGGTCTCTTAACGTGCTAGTGACACCCCTGCTTTTCATTGGTGGGATGGTGCATCGTCTGCCAAGTCTTTTGCTTTCGTAATGAGTGATTTTCGTGTGCAAGTTCGGTACTAGTCCCTCTAGGATTTTCCAGGTGTATATAATCATGTATCTCTCCCTCCTGCGTTCCAGGGAATACAGGTTTAGGAACCTCAAGCGCTCCCAGTAATTGAGGTGTTTTATCTCCGTTATGCGTGCCGTGAAGGTTCTCTGTACATTTTCTAGGTCAGCAATTTCACTTGCCTTGAAAGGTGCTGTTAGTGTGCAGCAATATTCCAGCCTAGATAGAACAAGTGACCTGAAGAGTGTCATCATGGGCTTGGCCTCCCTAGTTTTGAAGGTTCTCATTATCCATCCTGTCATTTTTCTAGCAGATGCGATTGATACAATGTTATGGTCCTTGAAGGTGAGATCCTCCGACATGATCACTCCCAGGTCTTTGACGTTGGTGTTTCGCTCTATTTTGTGGCCAGAATTTGTTTTGTACTCTGATGAAGATTTAATTTCCTCATGTTTACCATATCTGAGTAATTGAAATTTCTCATCGTTGAACTTCATATTGTTTTCTGCAGCCCACTGAAAGATTTGGTTGATGTCCGCCTGGAGCCTTGCAGTGTCTGCAATGGAAGACATTGTCATGCAGATTCGGGTGTCATCTGCAAAGGAAGACACGGTGCTGTGGCTGACATCCTTGTCTATGTCGGATATGAGGATGAGGAACAAGATGGGAGCAAGTACTGTGCCTTGTGGAACAGAGCTTTTCACCGTAGCTGCCTCGGACTTTACTCTGTTGACGACTACTCTCTGTGTTCTGTTAGTGAGGAAATTATAGATCCATCTACCAATTTTTCGTCATTCCTTTAGCACAACACTCAGTACCCAACACTCAACACCCAACACTCAGTACCCAACACTCAAACAACCTACGCCAACCACATCCAACACTCAGACCACAACCAACGCTAACCTCAACATCCAACACCACAACCACTCAGCACCCAACACTCAACAACCAACACTCAGTACCCAACACTCAACAACACGCCAACATCAACCAACACTCAACAACCTACGCTCAACATCCAACACTCAACAACCAACGCTCAACACCCAACACTCAACAACCAACACTCAGTACCCAACACTCAACACCCAACACTCAGTACCCAACACTCAACAACCTACGCTCAACATCCAACACTCAACAACCACGCTCAACACCCAACAGTCAACAACCAACACTCAGTACCCAACACTCAACCAACGCTCAACACCCAACACTCAGTACCCAACACTCAACAACCAACGCTCAGACCCAACACTCAACCAACGCTCAGTACCCAACACTCAACAACCTACGCTCAACACCCAACATCAACACCAACCTCAACCCAAAAACTCAACCAACGCTCAACAACCCAACACTCAACACCCAACACTCAACACCCAACACTCAGACCCAACACTCAACAACCAACGCTCAACACCCAACACTCAACCAACGCACAACACCCAACACTCACCAACGCTCAACACCCAACAGTCAACACCCAACACTCAGTACCCAACACTCAACCAACGCTCAACACCCAACACTCAACACCCAACACTCAACAACCAACACTCAGTACCAACACTCAACACCCAACAATCAGTACCCAACACTCAAAAACCCAAAACGCTCAACACCCAACACCCAAGACAGTTCAACACCCAAACACTAGAAACCCAACACTCAACCCAACGCTCAACACCAACACTCAACCCCCAACACTCAACAACCAACGCTCAACACCCAACACTCAACAACCAACGCTCAACACCCAACACTCAACAACCAACACTCAACACCCAACACTCAACACCCAACACTCAACAACCAACACTCAACAACCAACACTCAACACCCAACACTCAACACCCAACACTCAACACCCAACACTCAACAACCAACGCTCAACACCCAACACTCAACACTCAACCCCAACACTCAAAAACCCAAACCGCTCAACACCCAACACTCAACACCCAACACTCAACACCCAACACTCAACACCCAACACTCAACACCCAACACTCAACACCCAACACTCAACACCCAACACTCAACACCCAACACTCAACAACCAACGCTCAACACCCAACAACCAACGCTCAACACCCAACACTCAACAACCAACGCTCAACACCCAACACTCAACAACCAACACTCAACAACCAACGCTCAACACCAACAGTCAACACCCAACACTCAACAACCAACGCTCAACACCAACAACCAACGCTCAACACCCAACACTCAACAACCAACGCTCAACACCCAACACTCAACAACCAACGCTCAACACCCAACACTCAACAACCAACACTCAACAACCAACGCTCAACACCCAACAACCAACGCTCAACCCCCAAAACACTCAACAACCAACGCTCAAAAACCCAAAAACCCAAACGCTCAACACCAACACTCAACAACCAACGCTCAACAACCCCAACAGTCAACACCCAACACTCAACAACCAACACTCAACACCCAACACTCAACACCCAACACTCAACACCCAACACTCAACAACCAACGCTCAACACCCAACACTCAACAACCAACGCTAAAACACCCAACACTCAACAACCAACGCTCAACACCCAACACTCAACAACCAACGTTTAAACAACCAACATCAACACCCAACACTCAACAACCAACACTCAACAACCAACGTTTCAAACACCCAACAACCAACGCTCAACACCCAACACTCAACAACCAACGCTCAACAACCAACAGTCAACAACCAACACTCAACAAACAACACTCAAAAACCAAAACCCCACCCCCCCCCCCCAACCCCCCCCCAAACCCCCCCCAAACTCAAAACCAACACCAACCCAACATCAAAAACCCAACATCAACAAAAAACACTCAAAACCAAACCTCAAAACCAACCCTCAACCCAACACTCAAAAAACCACATCAAACCCACCCAACCCAAAAACCACCACCCAACAAAAAAACACTCAACCCCCACCAACACCCAACATCCAAAAACCAACACTCAACAACCAACACTCAACACCAACACTCAACAACCAACACTCAAAAACCCAACACTAAAAACCAACCAAAAAAACCCTAAACCCCAACATCAAAAACCCAACACCCAAACCAAACCCCAACAAACAACAACCAAAAACCAACAAAACCACACTCAAAAACCAACCTCAAAAAACCCAAACATCAACAAAAACACAACAAAACACTCACCACCAACACTCAAACACCAACACTAAAAAACCAACACCAACAAAACCAACCAACCCAAACCAAACTCAAAAACCCAAACTCAA